AGTTCTCTGTGTCTTTCTTGACGCAGTTTACGCAGGTTACGAAACGAGTATTCCAGCAGTACTGGAGAAGCCCCGGTTATATATATGCCAAAGCTTTGCTCTCGCTGGGAGGGGTACGTTCACATATCCGAACCATGGAGATCTAAACCTAGCTAACATTGGTAGTCACTCTTTGTTGGCCTATCGTTTCTGGATTCTCAAAACACGAAGCGCGGCATGTCGAACCAAATGTTTGGCATCTTCATGTTTCTCAGCCTGTTCCCCAATCTAGTGAACCAGATCATGCCAGTATTCGCCTCCCAGCGTGTCATGTATGAGTCCCGAGAACGCCCGTCCAAAGCGTATGGATGGCCGTCGTTTGTGGCGGCTAATGTCCTGGTTGAGCTTGCGTGGAACTCTGTGAGTACACGGTTGAAGTAGCAGCCGAAACCAGGCTAACCACGATCAGTTCATGTCCATCTTTGCCTTTATATTTTTTTATTATCCTATGAACCTTTCCAACAATGCAGAGTGGACTGATACCGTTCACATTCGCAGTTTTCTCATGTTTCTGCATTTGTGGATGTTCTTTGCATTCACAAGCACCTTTGCACACATGATGATTGCCGGACTCCCCACCGCAGACCACGCTGGAGGCCTTGCAAATCTATTGCTCATCATGATGTTCACATTTTGCGGGTACGTTTCCCTTCAAGGCAGGCAGCCAGAGACTAACACGACTCGTCCCGCACAGCGTCATAGCGGGCCCCGACAGTCTTCCAGGGTTCTGGATCTTTATGTACCGCGTCAACCCCTTCACATACGTTATTGAGAGCTTGATGGCGACCGGGCTTGGCGATGCTCCGATGCACTGTGCCCCCAACGAATTTATTACCTTTACCGCCCCGGACGGCTCCACCTGTTCCCAGTACGCTTCCGAGTACTTGGCTCAGAATGGGGGCTACCTGGAAAATCCAGACTCTTCCAACTGCTCATACTGCTCCATGTCCAACACAAACGAGTATCTGGCATCCGTCAGTGTGAGTTTCGGCAACCGCTGGAGAGACTTTGGGATCATGTGGGCGTTCTGCATGTTCAATATCTCGATGGCTTTTCTCTTATACTGGCTTGCGAGGGTCCCTAAAAAACAGAAAGCTAAGAAAGGATAGGCCATGGGGCGCAAGTCTATCCTGCAAATTGCGCAAGGTTTGCCCACGGAATGTATAGATTGCCATCACTAGAATAGACTGCCTACTTCCCCAACAATCCCATGCTAGAATACTTGAACTGCACTTTAATCGGCGACTTGCTATTCCAGAATAAAGCGTCCGAGAAGTGCTCCTATGCCAGGCCGTGATGGTTGTCCGACTTGGCATCTGGCCTGGATTGATTTCAAGTTGCAAACGCCGTTAGCCTCTGCTGATGTGGGCCAAGCGAGGCACGCTGCTCACGGGTAGCGCGTATGATGAGGGGACAATGGATAAACTGAGATGGCACGGGATCAGTTCTTGGTGAGATCAGCAGCCTAAATTGCATTGCAGAAGCCAGCCAAGGCCGCCGCGCCAAGTCCACGGCCGATTTCCTCGGCAGCCCGTGGTTCGATCTATGCGATCCGCCGTTCTGCTACAAGGACATGGTTCACTATTGGTTGAGACAAGTTTAGCCTAAAAAGAGGATTCCGATCGGCATTGTCTCCAACTGCCGGGGCCCTGGCTTATGCCGCCCAACGAATGCTGGCAGAAAGCCTTTTCTGAAACGCAGAGATCCATAGACAGCTCGACCACGGCCAAGGTACTGAAAGCACCTCTGCGTGGGGAATGGTAAAGAAGCCACTTTGATTCAGCGGTTTTCTTGAAATGCACCCGATGTATTCGGTAATGGATGAGTGGTGAATGTGAATCCAGAGTGTCCACCCGCTTGAGCTCCAGCACAGCGACCGTAGTCAGGGGTGTGGAGTTGGACGCCGGGGAATTAACGGAGTCGAGGGCTCCGCAAGCTCGTCATCTTCACGGGACCATGAACGCCAAGAGCTCGAGGACAGGAGATAAAAGAACCGCGACTCTGCCTTCTTAACACATCTAAAGTTACTGATCACCGTCCCCTTTATTCATTATCGATGCAACCACCATGGTCTCTTTCAGTACACTTCTGACCGCCTGCACGGCCATCACAGGCGCACTCGGCACACCCGACCTAGACAGGCGCCAGAACGTGACGCCCAATGCACAAGGGACTCACAATGGCTACTTTTACTCGTGGTGGTCTGACGGACAGTCCCCTGTGACATACACCAACAGCGCCGGTGGCTCATACAGCGTGGAGTGGTCCTCGGGAGGCAACTTGGTCGGCGGAAAGGGTTGGAACCCCGGAAGCGCCAAGTAAGCAGCCACTGCCAAGCAGCCACTGCCATACGCCAGGATCTTGACACTGACGGGACCACAGGGAAATACGTTACTCCGCTTCATGGCAACCCACCAATAACAGCAACAGCGTAAGTGCACCCCGTTCGTCTTGATTATCAAAGACTAACAATGTTTGAGTACCTCACAATCTACGGATGGACAAGGTCGCCTCTGGTGGAGTACTACATTGTCGAGTCACACGGAGAGTACAATCCCGGCTCTTCAGCGGAGCCGCGGGGCGAGATTGAAGCCCATGGCTCCATATACAAGCTGTACGAAAGCACGCGGGTCCAGCAGCCCTCTATCGACGGCACTCAAACATTCCAACAGTACTGGGCTATTCGCCAGACTCACCGTACGAGTGGTACTGTCACCACCGGCACATTCTTCAACGCTTGGGCTGCTGCCGGCATGCCGATAGGCCAGCACAACTATATGATCGTGGCCACTGAAGCCTACAACAGCGCAGGCCGAGCGAGTGTTGTGGTAGAAACCCCTCCGTAGCAGTAGTTGTGGATGAAACTTCCTCTAATGATATCTATGGAATCGATAGCTAAACTATAGTATGAGAGGTTACGAGGCTATGGCATACGTCACGCTTGATCGCAGAGTGCTGGGAACGACGCGGGAGCGTCGTAGTCACTCCACACCGGAGTAGGAATGGGCAAGGTCAGGTGGGTGATCTTCCTATGAATTGACGATACAAGACCTAAGACCCTACACACCGCCTTGGAGCGAGCTTCAAATCGCCGACTTAGTGCTCAAGCCTCACTCCTGGGCCCATACGTGAATCGATCCATATCTTCCCAGGTTGGCCGCTGATACCTGGGCCATATCCGACAGGTATTCTTCCGTTCGCAAAGACAAAGTCCAGGGCGCCTTTGTTCTGAGAGTCGACGGAATGGACGGCGTGGTAGTGAAGATAATTCCCGACTTTGTACAAAGTTACACCTACAGCGGACACAGTGAAGCAGATGCCAGGGCTTTGCGAACCCAAGCAGCTGAATGGAATATCGATCTTGTCACTAAGACGGTTAGATACGGTCTCTGTGGGAAAGACTAAGAAACCTACGTCCTCGCTTGCAGCTGATGCTTATCGGACATATCGTCTTGACGACTGTCAGGTCAGCATTTCTGCTCGCTAGTTTCGGGCAATGTTGTAGACAGTGCAATCAAGTCGGGCATCTACCTATCGATAGAAAGTGCATTTGTAGCCTGGAACAACGCCAGAGGCAGGAGGAGGGACTTTGGCAACATGGTGAAAAGGAAGACGAGGTTATATAATATAAGTGCTATGAGATAGCGAGTGAATCAAGTATCCTTATTCTTAAAATAATATCGTCGTTTTATAGGATAACTTTTTAAATTAGTAGTAGAGAGGTATTTAGTTAGTAAGGAAAGGTAGGTAGGTAAAACTTTAGTATACTCGTAAAACTATTAATACTCTTAGTAATTACTATGAAATTAACTTTAAAAAGTATAAAAAAGTATAAGAGAAACCTTATATTCATAGATAAAAAAATAAATTATATATTAAAGAGAAAATAAAATACTAATATAGTAAATTAAGGTTTAAGTAATATATTTTAGAGAAAATAACTCTTAGTAATATAAAAGTATAGGTAAAAGATTTACCCCATATAAGAGTAGCTAAGTTTCCCCTATAAAACTATATTCTTAAGCTTTTAATATAGTTATAGTCACGGGGACCGATGATCTCAGATCTCAAATACTCGAATGATAGTATTATATTAAGATGTCCCTCCCTATTAAGGGAGGATATAGGGGTTCTCTATATATATTACAATCCCTAGTCATATGACTAGGATTAGTGAAGGCTGGTCATCACGGTTCCGTGATCACCGTGCCGTGATTGTCTAGCGGTGATCACGGGAAGGTGATCCCCGTCGGTGATCACGGTCCCGTAATCACCGACTTGCGGTCACGTGACAGGATCCACCTGGTTGCCTGTCCACTGTGCCCGTAACAGCTTTATTCTCAATTTGAATACTATAAGAGTTCTATTACTTAATTATATATATTTAAGTCTATTAGTTTATAACCTTATATAGAGTTAAGTAAGCTTAGAACTCTATATACTATACTTAATATAGTTCCTTAAATACTATAGCTATTAGGGGAAAACATTTATCCTATAATATAGGAGAGTTTATAATTAAGGAAATTAAATTAGATAATAAAGAATAAGTTAAATAGGAGACTATAAACTTTATAATTATAATATAAGTTATATAATTACTATATAATACTTAGATAGTATTATACTTTATCTTATTAAATATAGAAGATAAATAGGACTTTATCTACTTTATATATTACTCTACTATCTTATTACTCCTAATAATAAATAATAATTCTAACTTAATCCTACTTATATAAACGATTCTAGTATGAGGTCCTTCCTATCGCCGATTACACTATAAGTCTTCTCATTATAGAAGTCGGTATTTTACAATGGACTAATGCATATATAAGTATTAGCCTTCTTAGGCTAGCGAATGCTGATTATTACGACTCATGCCACTATATGAAGTATCCCGACTCGGGAACGGGTAACTGGTGCTCAACCAACTTTGTCTGTGGTGATTTGGGAACAGGATATACTATTAGTGCGTTACCCGTATTAACCTCTTTAAGAGTAGCTTAAGTTATTAACTATACTTCCTAGTGCCCGGTGGCGATGTAAGTTTTATAACAAGCTATTCAAGCATAGTTCCCCTAATACCTAATGTATAGTGTCAGCGCAAAGATAAAAAGCAGATTAAGGGAGATGACTTTTACAATGCTTGCCGGAACTACGATAAGAAAAACTGGGAGCGGGATAGTTGCTGTCAAGTTTTTGTTGATGGCATTACTGTACACTCACGTGGCTGTTGGAGATAGGATATATTTATTTAAAAGCTCCATTAACTCGTTAATATAAGCTTATTATATATCTTAGGCATAACGGAGAGGCTTGAGATAGACAAATGAGGGATCGAGCTCATGGCCTAGTATGCAGCACAAGTGGCGGTCGACTGGCGCAGCGGTACCGTTTGGACTAAAGGGCGGCATCCATTAATTTACCTCGCATGCGAGGCCTTTTGCTAGGTGATGTCTCTCGCTCTCTTCCTCTTACAGTCTAACGTACAGCTCGTATAAGAGGGCGACTCGGAAGAAAATCCAGGTTCTCCCAACCACTGAAAGGTCGAGGTACTAGCGTAGACAATCGAGTTCGTCAGTCTAGTATCTGACGAGCTAACGCCGCAGACTAAGGTGCTAACGGCTACTCTTAGGGGTAGTTCAATAAAAGGAGAGCGACTCGAAAGAATCTTACTTCAATTATAAGTATAAGATCTAAAAGCATTATTAATAGCTAGATTTTTAAAAATCGGAATTAATATATTAAGTACTAGTTCCTCTATTATTATAAAGCAGCATCCTCACAACCATTTTCATTCGAAAGAGACATAAATGCCGCAAGCATCGATATACATTTTATACCGGCGACCCTTCCGAAGATGATGCGACGCGGGCCGAGCTCAAAGGGGTTGAACTCGTAGACGGTGGCGTTGAGGGCGACGATGCGCTCGCCGGGGGCACGGCCGGGACCAGCGCAAAGAAGCGGGCTGGACATAATTGGATATCGCTCACACGACGCGACGAGGGCTTTCGTTCCGAGGCGCAGGGGACAGATGCGAGATCGGTGTGAAGTGATCGACTTGCCGCAGCAAGACGCCTATTCAAATAAAGGTGTGAACCCGCTTTCGACAGTCGCATGGAGAAGGAGATGGCCGTGTGCTATGTCGGCCTATACTTGCAGAGAACCTCAAACTCTCCAATGCCAGTGCCTTCGCTGGACCGACCGCGTGAAGCAGGATCGCCTCGCCGAGCATCTCGTCTTTCCCCTGCCCGAGAACGAGCAGGATCCCCTGCCCGAGAACGAACAGGATCCCCTGCCCGAGAACGAGCAGCACGCGGGCCTCGACCACGATGAGAGCTTGTCCTACTTTACACCACCTCGTCTTTTGCGTCTCCAGCGAACTAGGTACAGATACAGAAGCTTCGATAGCGGAATAGAAGAGTGAACCCGCCATTAAGTAACGTTAGAGCAATAAACAAAACTATAAACTGAAGGGGAGCAGCTAAAGATATATAGATAATATATAAGTATAAATAGGTTGAAATCCTTATTAATAGACGTTTTCTATACTATTATATCTGTTGAGAGGGTTTCACTGCTTATGTGAACCCCAATCCAGTGCTTTGGCTGTGCCTGCGAGCTCTGAATAGGTAAGGGTTGGTGAAATAAGTCTTGTGATGTGATTGATACTTGATTGATGCTGTCTTTCTGAATTATCACTACCTACGTGAGTCAGATATACCTATCTAATTCACCGATCACGTAAGCCGTAATTCACGTGCTCCTGAGAGCTATGAATCCCAGATATAACCATCCTAATCACCGCCCTAGGGAATACCCTAATAATAGTTCAACAATATCACTAGTACTTTAGCTACTACCTTTATCCCCCTACTTAATAGATAGCTATTATACTAGGTATACTCTTTTAGTATAAATCGCTAATCTAGAGCTAGATATATATTACACTATATACTTATAACCCGCTTACTCAGAGCTACTGCTTACTAGAGTACTACTATTGATAAGTCTCTTTATATTTTTAACTAGTTAGTAGGAGTTTCTTTGAGGAGCATTACTTCGGACCATACCCCAGGCCTCTCGATGCCTCATGTGAGAACAGTGCTCTGTTCAGTGCAGAATTTCCCGACGGGTGGGTTCCAGGAGCCATGTAAAAGCCGACGGCCGGGCTGGAGGGCCGGATGAGAACCTGTTAGTATTTCTAACCATAGTCGTTTCTATTGCGAATTGCAATTCTGGAATTCCTCTTGCATCTAGAAATCCTGCCGCACTTGGTTGTTGGCTATTGCACTGCACACTCCGAGCTGTTCCTCGAGGATCCTCAACGTCCACCCTGCCAACTCACCGTCAATTCTGCGCCATGCCGGCGACACGTCTCACCTATGACCATCTTCCTCTTCACGGCAAGGTCTATGCCGTCACGGGCGGTGCCAGCGGCATTGGCCTTGCGACGGCCAAGCTTCTTTCGACGAGGGGTGCAGCAGTCTGCATCGCCGACATTGACGCAGAGGCCATGAAAGCAGCCGAGGCCCACTTCACGCCTCTCCAGGTGCCGTTCATGGTGTCAAAGGTTGATGTGTCGAGAAGGTCCGAGGTAGACTCTTGGATTGACAGCATCATCCGGGAGCATGGCCGTCTGGATGGCGCCGCAAACGTGGCCGGCGTCATTGGCAAGGTTCACGGCACCACCGCAGTGACCGACATGGAGGACGGCGAGTGGGACAGAATCATTGCCGTGAACCTCACGGGAACCATGTACTGCATGCGCGCGCAGTTACGCAGCATCGCAGACAAGGGGTCCATCGTCAACATATCATCCATCCATGGTCTTAAGGGTTTGGTGCAATCCGGCAGATACTAAGGCACGCACTCTGACTGACAGCTGGACAGGCTTTTCGAAACACTCGGCGTATGATGCCAGCAAGCACGCCGTCATTGGTCTGACCAAGGCGGCGGCTCTGGAGAACGGAGACCGCGAGATCAGGGTCAACAGCGTCGCGCCAGGTTCGGTCTACACGCCACTGATGCAGAAGGAATGGGACCACAGCGGACGCGCGAAGGACGCTCCGTTTGATGAGCCCACTGCGTTCCGGCGGTTGGGGACCGTCGAGGAGACGGCCAATGTCATTTGCTTCCTGCTGGGGCCCGATAGTTCGTTTGTGAGCGGTGCGGTCTACACAGTAGATGGCGCTTGGATCTGAGATCGGGGGGTGGGGCAAGGTGGCGGTGATGCCGAAGTGGGAGCTCTGTTTGGCGTGTGGGAGGATGAATGACTGATTCTGCAAACATTGGTGAAAGCCAAGAGCGAGGTTTGTCTTGTTGAGGTGAGCGATGTGGGGGGTTCCAGGCGCTGGACGCCCCAGCGCTACCTGGAATTCGCTAGTGGTGCGGGGTTCGCGGGGAAAGAGTCAGCTCAGGTGTTGAATGAACATAAAATACCGTCGGGCTTTTTTCACTTCGCAGCTTCCGTTCCCAGCATCTCCCTCGAATCCCACGCGCGCGCCGATCAGCTCAGTCGCAGCTGGAACCGCTCTCTGGCCCGGACAGATTTCACAGCACCCGAAGTATCAGAACGACAACGACTCGACAGCTGTCGACTCCTCTGTTCAAGATAAGCGATGGAAGACCTTCGTGGCCAACCGTCTCCCGAGCCCGAGACGAATGGCCGGGGGAGCCAGGATGGGACGGACGCGGAGCATGCAAGGCCAAGGAAGAGGACGCGGGTCGCATGCGACAAGTGCAGTACGTCTCGGACCCGCTGCGACGGCCAGTATCCGTGGTAGGTGAAAGACGGCTCTCGAGCTTTTTGCCCCAGCATCCATTCGAAGGTTATCGTCCATCATTTACTGACATGGCCACGCAGTCGACGTTGTCAAGGCAAGCCTGTTGCACTAGCCAGGAGAGTAAAACCCGAGGCATCTTCGGCTAACCCCTGTCCCATCACAGACTACGGTTACTCCTGTAACTATGACCGACAAATCAAGAAACGCGGTCGCGTCCCCCGCAACGAAACAGCACCCAGGAGTCATTCCAACTGCGAATCGTCCGCTAATGAGACCTCGTACCCGGATCAGCATCAAGCGAGCTCGCCTGCTGCCGAATCGGAGCCTCCGTCGGCCTCCTTCGACCAGCGGCGACAGGTGGCCGAGCCGCAGCAGAATCTTGCCGTTCCAGAGACGCACGCTCATGTTGAGTTGGACACGGCCAATGGGGGCTACTTGCCTCAACAAGCCATCTCCCCGCCATACGCCATGTATGCCACCGAAGGCTACGCGGCTGGTCTGAGACACACAAATCATCCGAGGCTGGGTGACGCTGTTGTGTCGGAGCCCAGCGACGGCCACCCGTCCCCTGCAAACCTCAATCCATTGCACGATGCACACGCCTCGACAAAGCCGCATCCGCAACAGCAGCGCGCAAGGGCGTCATTCAGCACAATCGTTAGGCCGCACGGATTCGGACCCTTCAGCCCGATACCGTCGGACGGCTCTCAGGGCGGTGGCCAGCAAAGAGGCTCACAGTATGGTGTCTCGACTGCCGACTGTCGCTACCGCTGTCTCGACCCTCTCCTCCCCTATCTTGGCGATGTCTTGCCTGCGTCTGTGGCTTGTGATCTCTTTGATGTCTATCTCGTGGATCCCGGAAGCTCGTTGTTTCGCTGCGCCTCGCCATACATCCTGACGCGAATATTCCGGAAGAAATCGCTGCTTCATCCAACAAATCCGCGACCCATGTCGCCGGCGCTTCTGGCTACCATTCTTTGGTGCTGTGCCCAGACTGCCGACATATCTCTGCTTCTTGTTCCGGGATCGAGATCACGAGTCACAAACGCGCTCTACGAGCTCGCCACATTTCTCATCACGGACCGAGACCCCGACAGATGGCGAAGAATACACGGTAAGCAGCCGCACTGGCAGGTGTTGGCATGTCGTGCTTACCATGCATAGGGGGACTACGCATTGAGAATGAACAGGTACCCGAGCAGTACCCCTACAACTCCAATCTCCCAAGCACCACGGAGAGCAATGAGCCAGCCGGTGCCATTGATGATGTGCTCACGTTCATCCTCCTCTGCATTGGAGTGTCCGGAGGCGACTTCAAGTCGGATTGTCTCAAGTGGTGGAGCAAAGCAGCCAGGCTTGCGCTGTCACTGCGTTTGAATCGACTGGACGAGGACTCATCATTGTCCGGACTGACCTCTCCCCCACGAAAGCACAAGGGCCAGCTGCTTCTGGCTGCACTTGAGGCCGAGGAAGAGAAGAGGCGAGTCTTTTGGTTGCTTTATTCGCTCGACCGACATCTTGCGCTGTCGTTCAATCGAGTCCTCCAAATTCCGGATTCGAGCTGTGAAGTTTATGGTACGTCTTCCCCCGTGTTGAGGCCGGCTGTCGGCTCCTGACAGAGCATTAGCCCCATTGGCGGAGAACATGTGGGAGACGCTAGACGAAGTGCTCCTCCTCGGACCGCCAGCCAGGACGATAGGTCCCCTCAGCACGATATCTGGTTCCAGTTTCTTCGAATACTTCCTCCCGCTGATGGTCATCCTCGGCGACATCATCGAAGTTCACCATAGCAAGCACCATCCTCGCCTTGGGAGCCTGGACAACAGCCTCGCCGTCTCTGTTATTGGCAATATGATAAGCGAGTGCGAGGAGAGCCTTGCCAGGCTTGCGCACGAGGCCGATGTGCGACACTCAGCATACGGAAACTCTGACACCCCAATGCTCATCAGCAATCTGGTGACCGGCCTGCCCGACAACAGTCATCCAGCACCACCACCACCAAGTCGGAGTCACGACACGCACGATGATCGATCCGATGTGCGTCTTGTGGTCGCATACAGTACACACATTCTCCATGTCATGCACGTCTTGTTGCACGGCAAGTGGGACGCCATCAGCATGCTGGACAATGAGGATGACTGGATCACCACACCGCGCTTTGCCGAGTGCGCGTCGCACGCCATTGCCGCTTCCGAGGCCGTGTCCGATATTCTCAAGTTTGATCCAGAACTGACTTTTATGCCATACCTCTTCGGTATATACCTGCTGCACGGCAGCTTCATCCTGTTGCTCTTTGCCGACCGGATGCCTCAGCTCGGACCCAATCAGAGCGTCGAGCAGGCGTGCGAGACCATCATCAGAGCCCACGAGGTCTGCGTTGTAACCTTGAGCACAGAGTTTCAGGTGCGTCAGTTATTCCTACCACATCACTTGACACGTCTAATTGAATTGCACAGCGGAATTTCCGACGAGTGGTACGGTCCACGTTGTATAGTGTACGAGGCTCCAGTCCCAAAGGCTGGGAGGAGCACAAGCTGGCGCGGAGGAGAGTACTCTCACTGTACAGATGGACCAAAGGAGCCAAGGGACTGGGAATTTGATGAGACGAAGTATCACCAACATTTCAGTCTACCGGCTCAAGGCCGAGACGGACAAAACCTTTCAAGCTATTGGATTTGCCGATCATACGAGACCGTTGACTGTGAAGACCGCGAGACTGTAGGCATTGTATCGGCACGAACGGCTTCCCCCCCCCCCCCCACGCCCTCGCCTTGATTTCAGACTGCACCCTGACTGGCCTGACTGATGACCTGGATTTCGGGTACGTCAAAGACATCCCAGTCATGGGCATTTTCCGGTGAGCCGAACGGCGTCAGGGCCGCGAAGCGAAATCTGCCATACATCAGTTTCTCTCCCCCATGGCCACATCAAAGCTCATCCACTCACGTGTAGTTTCCTGGTTCAATCAATTGACCGTTAGCCAGACGGCCGAGCCACCAATACTCATATGGAATGTCCCGAGCCAGATCAAAGACAGGAAACGCCACCAGATCCATCTCATCGTCCTTGCTTGCGTTGAAGACGTAGGCGTACTCCGCACCGGCCCATGAAGTTGCGGCACCAACATACCCGTTCTTGCCCGCTTCCGGCGGATAGTACCAGCGGCTGTCTTCCCAACCTGCTTCAAAGATATCCCATCGTAGGTGCCGCACACCCCAGCGGAAGCCGCAAACGATCCTTGGGAAGTCTTGAGCTTCCAACGAAAGGTCGAATGTGTAGCTAGCATGATACGGGTCAGCCTCCGGTCTTCGCACGCGCAAACAGACTTACGTGGGCTTCTCCTCAATGGGAATGTCGTTCGCAGTCGAAGAGGACCGGGGATAGTTTGGGTAAAAGACCCTGGCAAAGGTAGTCCGTATGCTCCCCGCCACGCCCATATAAGGGACTGAAAGCTCTTCAGCATTCGTGCCATGTATGAGGATCTTGCCGCTGTACACAGACAACTTATCATCATCGAACCCGGCGGGATAGTCGAAGACGAATCTGGAGGCCTGTCAGCAGGAGGCCTTTGTGGCTGGCTGCTTTGCGTACTCTGCGTTTTTGGTTGACCCAGGATTGACCCAGAACTCATCCGACGGCAAGAGCACATCAGGCGTCATTTTAAAGGGGAGGAAGGATGTCTCGCCGTGCGGAATCGGGCCCAATTGCACCAAGGGAGGATCGCCGCTGTCCAGGACGTCATGGCCGCCAGAGTCTTGCACCTTGAACCTGTATCGAACACGGCTGGTCCCATTATTCTTGATGGCGACCTTTTGATGTTGTCTGTGGTTCTGCGTGTCATTCAGTGCAAACTTTGACCAACTCAGGGACGTTTCATAGTGGACGACCTTGTAGGCGTCGACGATGCCAGTACCAACTTGGGTTACAGGCGCCCAGAACCCATAATCTTTGTCCGACTGACCATCGTGCCACCGCACTGCGCGGCCGCTTGACATGATTCGCATGGCGAGATCCTTGGCGAAGCGGATACCGTGTATGCCTTTCCCTCCATGTTGACTGATGTACAAGGCCGCAACTCCAGCCACATATGGACACGCCATTGATGTGCCGCTGAGCACTGTATATGTGTTGTCAAGGTACGAGCTGAAGATGTTGCCTCCAGGCGCCGCAACATCGGGCTTGATCTCGAGATTGTATAACGCAGCTTGTGACGTAAAGTAGCTCGCAAATCCTCCGCCAGCATTGCTGATGCCGACATAGTTGGTGCCCGACTCGACAGAGAAGTTAAGCAATACCTGATTTCCATTTATGTGCACCGTGAGGAATAATTCCGCCGTCTTGTAGTCGAGAACACCAACGCCAATGAGGTCGCTCCCGGTCTCTGGCTGCTGTAGCGAAGCGCCCTGTGGGCTGAAAAACAGGATATACCGAGCACCAAAGTGAGCGACATTGCGCTGTTTTGCATATGAACTGCAGTTCGTGTTCACACCCAGAGGCAGAAGAGGCAGAAGTACGACGTAATTACTGAGGTTCCGGGTATTGGCCGGCAAAGACTCGCAGCCTGCTAAGACGTCGCTTGCGTTGAGTGATAGCGCAAACATAGGAAGGTCTCGAACCGACGGAGGAAAAGGCTCGTAGTCTGGCAGGTAGGCAAATGTCGTTGTGTTCGAATCATTTGAGCCGGGACGGATATAAGTGGCCTCGAACGGTATCGCAGGGTAGGTATCTGCTTCGACCGACGCCACGGCGAGCACAAACTTTCCAGATGAGCCACTGCTTCCGAAAAATGGACCGAGCTCGCCGCTGTTGCCGGCAGAGATGGTCACGATGGTGCCAGCGTCGACGATGCGAGATGCAACCGTGGACCAGGCACTGCTCGACCATCCGCCGGGGCCGCCAATACTTGCTGTGATGATGTCGGCCTCGATTGGCGTCAGCGATGTTTCTAGAAGGGAGAACTCTAGGGGCCAGAGCCTACTCCGTCCTCATGGGCCCTGATGAATGCGTCTATCAGAGTTTCCTCGTCTGTTCCTCCCTGACATCGTTATTGGATGAAGCCAGCGAGAGAGGTTGATACCGCTTACACTGCCCCCAAAGACTTTGTAGCTCTTTAGCGTAGCGTCTGGTGCGACTCCTGCCCAGCTCAAGAAGAGTTAGCCGCGAGGAGAGTTCCTGGAACAGGCCGGCTGTACTTTTCGGTCAAGCCGGCGATGATGCCCGCAACATGCGTGCCGTGTCCGTCAATATCAAACGGATCATCATCTGGTTCCTTCTCAAAGGTACCGCGTGGATACCCTTGGAGCCGGATCAGCCTCAGCGTCTTGTTATCGAGAGAATATACATACATCTGTCGCCCACAAAGTCGTAGCCTCCTATCACTTTGTACTTGGGACCCATCCCACCACCCAACTGTTCAACTCGTTATTATCAAGGCTACCCGATCAATCCAGGAGATTGCCTACCGCAGGGTGTGTGTACTGAATTCCAGTGTCGATGATTGCAACAGTAACGCCTCGTCCGCGTATGCCTTCAGCGTGGAGCCTATCTACACCAGTCATGTGGTGGATTGTATAGTTGCTTGCGCCTGCATCGTCGGGTTGGTCCTGTTTGTCTATAGCAGGATCGAGCTGGACCGTCTTGGATCGCCAGACATTGGCCACATTTCGTATCATGTGCAGGGATTCTGCGTTCTCGACAGATGTCTCGATGCTGATGCCCTTGAAGATGTCTCCTTTGAACGACTTGACGATTTTGTTTCCAATACGAGACTCGATACTCGTTTTCACATAATCAAAGTCGGACTCCTGAGATTGATGTTAGCTGATGCACCATTTGCAGCAATTGCAATGGAAATAAGACACCTTGGCAAACTCGACGATGTACCGATTGGTCTCTAAGGAGCCAGGCCTCGTCCCCAATCCGCCATCTGTCTGTTGCCCAAGACCCGCCGTCGAACTCAACACGAGTCCCAGTAGTAAGTGAACGGGTTGCATGATTCGCCAACTCATTCTTCTGCCTCTGGGAGCTTGAAGAGGAGTGCCAAAAACGACGGGCAAGATCGATGGTAATATTACGCTATTTAATGCCAGCAGAAGCCGACCTGTCGAGAATCCATGCCAGCAGCGCCTGAATGGCGGTATGCAACGTCAGACAAGCCATGCAGCGCCGGATTCAGTGAGTTGTAAGGTGTCCGGGTAACCGCCGTGGACACCATTGTTGGGACAAGGTTGAATCCATGTGGTACATGGGAACGGGCAAGCTCATCGGGTTGCACCCAAGACAAAATCGTACGCTTGTGTCCAGCGACAACAGAGCCTTCTTAGGTCGGAGGCAATCAGGAAGGAAGCAGGACGTCCTCTCGTGGTTTCACAAGTTTCTGCTGATTGTTGCTCGACAGCCAAATCTGTAGTCCGGACGCGGTCGACCGAAGGTTGTGCTTGAGACGGGGATGGGATCGTGTTTTGCGGTAGAACCATTGGCTCCCTAGGCGTTTCCAGCATGCAGGTGGCCTGACTGTGGATGGCGGCATGTATGTACTGGACCGTAGGTGATAGGCGTGGCGAACCCGCTATGCTTTACGACATGGTATTGACTGCACTGATTCACGAGCAGTCGTAAGCAGCGCGGTGTTTAAAGGCCAAGTCTGAGTGCAATTGGCTTCGACGCGGGACATCTTTCGACCAGCGGGCTACGATGGGTACAAGAAGCCACGTCTATCAGGTTCAAAACGTCGACTGCAGTGGAGCAAGTCTGCTGGTTCGGATCGATCGCTCAGGCAGCGGCACTGAAGTAAAGGTCACCAATGGGGGCTCAAAGGTGAACGTCATTTTACATTGATGTCAACACGCACTCACTTCCTGGACCTGAACCTTGCAAGAAGCTTTCCCAACTTTGCCCGAGCAAGCGGGCTCGGGGCCTCATCGGCGGCAACGAGCCGTCGGACCAGAATGTTGTACAGGCCACCAAATGCAAGCGCAATGGCAGTTGATGTGAAGATGATAACATTGTAAGGCATGCTAAAGTCCGGCACTGGCAAGTTGAGGAGCAACGTGGTGGTTCGCACGCTCTGGACGCGAGGGCTGATAGTCGTGATGACAGCTGCGGCAACGTCGAAACCGCGGTTCGCATCTGGCGGGTACTCGGTGTAGCGAAGAATGGTCTTTTCGAATTCGTACGTCAAGAACACCGTCGAATCAGGTGGAATTCGCATGCGCAACTCCAGCTGAGTGCCCCTTGCGCGGTCGATGGCTGGGCGGTAGAAAACTTGCTCAATGATGGACGCTTGCTGGTTAATGTTTCCATTGATGCGAGTTTCGAGCGTGTGAAGATACACCCTCATAAACCAAGGTAGCGACTCCATGTAGATGAATTCTACCTCTGTATCGGGGCTTGGATTCGTCAGGATAGCCTGAACGCCGCCACGCTCTTGTCCGTATCCCATCAAGGACCTTTCGGCGTATATTAGAGGGGTAGGCGCGTCGACCAGCTCGGCTGGTGCTATGGCGGTCGCTTCGGCATCCAGGGCTGGCAGTATAATGTCGAACTCGCCGTTGACGTCGAACGTAAAACAACGGGAGACGCCATTTGGGTTTTTCGTCTCGTAAACCCCGCCCGAGGTGTAGACGCTCCTGGACTCAGGGACCTCTATGCAGACCGGGGCACTTTCTGGATCGGCCAACGGACACGTGCCGGTAATGGGCCGTCCAAAAATGTGTGAAAGATGCCATTCTTGGCCAGAGGCATGGCTAATGGGAAAGCAGGTGTTATCGGCATGGTAGGGTTTTGACGCCTCGCACTTTAGATCTTGGCTCGGGGGAGGGCGGGGAATAGGATTTCCCTGCGGACGCTTGGAGCGCTCGACGTCGAGAACCATATCGATGGTTTGCTCAATCTCCAGCACGCATTCGCCATTTTCAGGGCACAGCGGGCGAACATCTATGGCCATGCTCTGAAAGCTAGAGTCAAACAGCTTGTGGCCGTCAAGCAGGCTCGACACACCAGCCTTACCTTTGCATGGCAGCAACTTCAGAAACGGTGTCAGATTCTCCGTGCAGACGACTTCCTTTGGAAGTACACCATGTAGCAGCCGAAGATTCGGGATGGAGTCCCTCGAGTGGTGGCCCTCTGGTTGGAAAGACATGACAGGCCGGGTAGTTCGTGTGACATCGACAAAGTTGAGGGAGGCGCAAAACAGCCCAGACAGTGCGTTCGTAAGAATCAGCCACTTCTCGTCGGCCCTGTGGTGTCGTGGTTAGCTATTGTGATATGTCGAGTCTTGGGCAGATACTCGTACTCTTCGTCAGAACGTGCGTCCAGCCAGGCCCATAGCTCAACACCTGTGCCACCTTCTCGCTGGCCCTCCCATGGTCGAGTGCCCCAACTCTCGGCGTCCCATCGTCCCAAGCTGAATCTCAAGTGCAGCTCTTTTGTGCCAGCATGTTGAAGAATTTGCCCGAGCGACCGGGGAAAGTAACCAAAGTTCTGGGACTCAAAGTCGTGGAGTGTCGAGTTTGAACGAAAGTTGAAGCTGGCCAGCAGGGCGGAAAGCGGCAGTGGTCGAAGATTCAATTGCTCATGGTAGTCTGCTGCAGAAACGCAGTAAGATAAGGCAGAAAGAAGCAGCACTGGAAGCGGACGCATCGTGTTAGATCCCCAGCGAACGTTGGTTGATCGTGGTGGGATTGTCGAACTGCAGCTCCCTGACGTCGAGCATCGTGTCCCGTCGCGCGCTGGCTTGAGGCGGGACCCCTGCCAGTCCACCAGGGGGCGACCACCTACCTAGGTACCTGGTACTGTAGGTACCTAGGTATCTAAGCTAGGTACGAGGCGGTAGGACACGGCAGAACTCGATTAGATAATCCTTTTTTGCGAACCCGCAGATCCTCACAACAGGAGCTCCCGCATCCCTGGCCATGCCGCCTACTTCAATCGATACACCCGTCAGCGCCGTCGACAGATCCCCGCCACTTGATCGATCCAGAGGTAACATTTTGCGCCTGTACACCATCAAGTAACATGGCCGCCGAACAACGGAAGCTGCTCGAGCAGCTCATGGGCGGCTCAGCGGCGACTCGCGCCGCCCAGCTTTCCATGACGGACCCCAAGGTCTGCCGCTCCTTCATCGCCGGCACTTGTCCACACGATCTCTTCACAAACACGAAGCAAGACCTAGGCGCGTGTCCGCGGGTGCATTCAGAGGCCCTGAAGGCCGAGTACGACGCCTTGACCGAAAAGGAGAAACAAAGATATGGCTTCGACTACGATTACATGCGTGATCTACAAAAGTACATCGATGACTGCAACCGCAGGATAGACGCGGCACAGAGGAGGTTGGAAAAGACGCCCGACGAGATCAGGCAAACAAACGTATTGGTATGATTACCCTTTGCCCATTGCGACCGCCTCAATCAGCTAACAGTACGCCTTTCCCAGCTCAAGGGAATTTCGGAGCTTAGCTCCAGCATAAACAACGGCCTCTTGGAAGTCGAAATCTTGGGCGAGATGGGCGAAGTCTCTCGCGCTGTGGACGAATACTATCGTGTCCGCCAAGCACAACAGACGAAGCTAGACCGCGAGCGCGAGCTCAAAGAACTCTCCGACACCTCTGGACCTTCAGGTCATCAAAAACTGCAGGTCTGCGACGTTTGCGGTGCCTATCTCAGCCGTCTCGACAACGACCGTCGCCTGGCAGATCACTTCTATGGCAAGATGCACTTGGGATATGCGCAAATGAGGAAAACATTCGATGCATTTCCCAAAGAGATGCGCGGCCGTATGCGTGCGCCCCCAATGGAAGACGACGGCATGGGCCCTGGCGGCCCGAGGGGCTCACGGGGAGGCGGCGGCGGCTATCGCGGACGAGGAAGGGGTGGATATCGCGGCGGCTGGTAATGCGACTCCGAGGTGACAAAGTTGAAGCCCCATCAAAGCCATTCCGTCGTCGATACAACGCGGAGTGGGCGCGAAAAGACCACGACAACGACATGTCGGAGGATACCGCACGGCAGCAGGGAAACGTCTCAATTGGCTGAAGAGTGGCCTAAGATGATGCCTGCATGTTCGGATGGCCTTTCCAGAGGGGTCGCCTTCTGGTCAATCGTGGAGGCAGCGGGCGTCATCGTACGTCGCGATGAGAGGTTAGAACACCCAATGATACCAATCTACTATCAGCGCGCGGCTCACCACTGACTGCTCTAGTGAAGCGTAAACTGCACATGCTCTGGGCACTCACAGCTCGAATCGTGAACGATATGTTACTTCTAGCGGCGGCGTCTGTGAAGACTATCGTAGCCGACCAGCTTACGCCACCTCCTTACCCTTGACCGAGGACAGCATCATGGCTGATTAGTGAAGCCTGGTAGCGATGCCATTGACTCGGGTGGTAAGGTTTGCGTGCTATTGTTGAGCCTGAGAAATCATCTGACGAAAAGCACCTACAAATACTGAAGGGCACATGTTATCGTGTTTTCTGAGCGGTCGTTTGCCAAGAGGCAGTGTATGATGGACCGAGAAGTCTCAAGACTTGGGCGACTCCTTGTTGAATAGGCAGTTCTCTCGGCGACACTACAAGTACTCCATCAGGCTATTGTACAGTACATGTGTCTTAACGCTACGCTTGCCATTGTGATAGGTAAGTTGTTGTTTGCCGATGACTTTAGTCTGGCGCCAGTATAACAAATGCGCTGCCTTGCCACGCGTCTGCAAGGTTCGCACAATATCGTTATGGTCAGTAGCCTAGCCATTGTGCGGCAGAGTTCTAGTAGATTAGAATCCACTTGCATTGGAAAGCTGCACATCGCCTCGTTCCTTGGACTTCGTTGCCTGCCAGGCCCTTGATGTTTTGTTTCACAATGATCAATCGCGTTGTTGTGCTTATGAGGCTGTGTACGATCACCAGCACGGCCGCACGCCTCTGTAATTAACTTCTTCGCTCTTTTACGGAATAAGAACGACACAGATTATAAACCGTGCAGCCAAGATTTCCGCTGACAAGCTAGTGAAAAGCCTGGAGCATCAGTTCCCGGATTCAGGTAGACTTCCCGGGCTGTCCTTGAACGATGGCTCGTTGGAGAAAGCTGACGCTGCAAACCCCATCGAATTGAACTCCTGGGCTGACAATGATGCTGAGGTATCTGAACGTAACAATCTTGGATAGATGGCATCTTAAATTCGGGCGCAGAAATCTTGACAACGATAGCGGTGGTACTTCGGTCCCAAGCCAAGCCCTACTGGTCCTTGCCTGCCAGCTTAGCATCCAGAGACTCCATCTCTTCCCCCCAGTCAAGAGGGCCCGTCGGGGAATCGGGCGAGAACTTGGAATCCACAGATGGAAGCGCCGGGAAGTCCGCCGTGTTCAGAACGGGCTTGTTCGTCGCCTGGGAGGGAGTGCTCGCCGACGCGCCGGCCCCATCACGCCCGTTAAGATTGCCGCCTCGACCTCCCCGCCCGCGATTGGAGCCGCCACGTCCTCTCCCTCGTCCGCGGCCCCGGTAATTTTCATCGCCAGCAAGATCGCCCGCTCCTTGGTCGACATTGTTCCTGGCATAGCGGCTCCCCGCCAGAGAATCCGCCCCCCTTGCGCCACGGATTCCGCCATGCGCGCCTCGAAACTCCCTGTCCTGCTCCTGTTCTTCAATCTTGCCTTGGTCCCAGCCGCCCGTCTTATTTTCCATGGCTTTGAGCTTTCGCTCGCGGTTCTTGGCTCGTTCAGCATCCATCCGCCGCCGCTCCTCCTCCCCACGTTTCCTCCGCTCAGCCTCGGCGGCCTTCTTTTTCTTTGCCTCCTCCATACCGTGGGCGTAAGCAGCGGCGTGGGTTCGTTCGTCGGCCTCGGACAGTTCATGCTTGCGCGCCTTCTCGGCACTCAGGATTGCCATCTTCTCCAGTCTCTCGGTCAACTCGCCCTCGGTGAGTTTTGTCCGCGGGTTGGCCCCCGACTTGATGCGCGATTCCGACTTGAGCGCCGTGTTCTGGCCCGGTAGCGCTGCTCCGGATGTCTTTTTGCCCGCGCGCGGCGCGTTTGGTCCTGCGCTCGGCCCAGTGGGAGCGGACGGAGGCGGTGCCGTGTCATTGCTCGTGCCGCCTTGCTGGGCCGCGGGGCTCGGGCTGGTGGCCTCCTGGTTTGGAGCTTCTTGGCTTGCCGTCGGCTGGCTGGCTGCCGGCGGGTTTGTGGCCGGCTTCTGGTGTGTGCTCGGTTTGCTGGCGTTTGAAGGGCTGTTGGCGGCAGGCTGACGTGGAGGGCGTGGGGCAGGCTTGTCGCTGTACTTTGAGTACGCCAAGCCTTTGACCGCAGGTTTCGCCTTGTTGGGTGCAGGCGCCGATGACCTCTCGGGCTTCCCAGCAGGAATCTCGACGGCCTCGGTCGGAGGCGCAGCTAGTGCTGGTGCTGTTACGGGCGCGAGCGACGGAGGGACCTCGGTGACAGCATTGGTGAGGGGCTCGAAGTCGTCGGAGAACAAATCGTCGTCGGTACGACCGCCAAACTGATCGTCCATGGCAGCTGCAAGATTGACGGGTCTATCGGATGTGGAAGGGATGGTACAGACACTGTCAGCGGCAAGGCAAAGGTCCCAATGGCTTGTGGTTGTGAAGCTGGAGAGACGATCGAGCGCTGTCGCATTCCTCGACCCAACCCGCTTGGGAAGCACATGAGATTGTAGCCCCGCCACCCATGGCGACACATGATTGGCGCGATTGGCACAACTGGAGCTCATGTGGGGTCATGCTGTGTACTCGTTCATGGTGCCGCTGGTCTGGCCAGTGACTCACGTGACCCTGTGCATACGTCAAGCAAAGCTACCGCGCGGGTGGTGGCTGATAATACATGCGACGAAATGACCGATCTGAAATAAGCCTTTACAAATTACAACAGACAAACGTGCGCAAGAGGGGCGGGAAAGAAGCACGGTTCGGCCGAGTTCGAACAGACATCGCAACGGACGTGCCAGCGTCCATCGCTTCTTGCCAAGGGTTCCTCTCTTGGCCCACTGAAGGACCTCACATCAGACAGGTACATGTACACGCTCGCCACTGCCGACCCGCTCCCAGAATTTCCTCAACCGCCAGACTCGCCCGATGCCACGGCTCTGCTCCCACTGTCGCATGCCTTCTTCGCGCTGCAGCACCTGGCGCTTCCAAACGGCATCGACCCACCTGCGGAGCCCGTCCTTTACCTGTTCCTTTTCGATTGCTCTTCGTTTGGCCACAAGACCTGGCGCAACATGCACGACGGCTAGCCCAGGAACACACTCATACGGCAGGACGGCGCGCTCGACTAGAACTTCGGCAGGCGGTCTTGTGGCCAAGCGACGAGCAAGTCGAATGGAGACGAGAGAGCGGCCGAGGCGGCGCGAAACGACTGTGGTGTTAGTGAGAAATATGGAACGGGCAATCAGGTCTGCGAGTGGAGGCCTGGTGGCTAACAGTGGTGGGAGAATAGCGCGATTGAGACGGAGGCGGTACGCGTGGAGTATTGGTGCCATTGACAGAGTTCGAAGGTGGTGACTGATCTGAGCCCAATATGTCAGTTGAGTAGGAGATGGTACAACAAAAACAGGACCAGCAGGGGACATGGGCCGCTGGCACACAGCGCGGCATTGATCGGTTGCGTGTAAGTGAGCATGGGAAGAAGAAACAGCGAGAGAAAGGCGGACAGAGGTGACGAGAAGACGACGGGGGGCGGGTGTCTCAGGCGCACTGCGGGGTCAAAATGCGTACCCTGGAGATGGACAACAAGTCGTTCACGTCAAGGAAGCCTAGGATGTCGAGTAAAACTTCGTTGGGCATGATCGTCAGCGATGCCTTCGCACTCGCGGGGACTTGCTCCGTGTCACGGTCTTGTGCCCCATGAGAATCAAACGAAGAGATCCAACAGTCGGTGGGCTGCGTTGCTTGCTCTGTGCACGGCAGAGGATGCGGTCGGGTATCAATGGCCTTTGAGCCGATCACTGGGTCCAGCGAGGGTCGGCCGCCATCACGACCGTGGTCGCAGTGCTGAACACCTACTGCCTCAGCCGGCGAGGGGGTGACAGCAGAGACGCCGACAAGGGTCCCAGGGGGGCTCACAAAGTGAGGGTGGGACTGCTCGGATGACATTTGCCCTGTGCCTTCGCAGAGAGAAGTTGGGTCGGATATGTTGAGAGCCGCTCGAAGCGATTGTACGATCGACTATGCAAAGTCACGACGACCAGCGTCGCCAGATAGTCTTGTCTGCCGGGGCGAGAATCCAGAAAGATGCAGTGACTGACGGACGGGGGACGTGTTACGCGAAATTGGCGAGTATTGTGACGCGAGACAAATGGCAGCGCAGTTTGCGAAATCGACAGGCGCAACACGGCACGTATGCTTATGACGAACCGCGCCTCCGTTGTCACGAGCGCAGATCCTCCGTCGAGGCGCTGCAGCCGCTCTTCCAGCTGGTCCAGGTCATCCAAGTGAATCTGGGCGACTGGGTGCTAGTGGCGGGGGAAGAGTATACGTATTCAGGACGATGGTCGGCCGATTTGTTAGCGTTGCGATGACGGGAAAGAGGTTGCTGGAGGACCCTGGACCCAAGGCTACAGATGCCAAATGAGAGATGAACGATGCTGGTCAGCTGGCCTCGTCATGTCACGGCACGCGCCATGACGTGCGCCAACGAGGAGCGGGGCGGGGCGGGACATACCGTGCGGAAAACATCGAGGCCAGCAAGGTCAGCACGGTTTGCAGGCAGAAGGGTGCTCAACGGGCACTGTGTCTCGGCATCTTTCTCGATGTTCGGTTAAGCGGCCCCACAGTTCTATGATCTACACTTTATGGCCAACTTTTGCCCATCGTGCCTTGCGTGCATCCCGTACGGTGCACGCCGCTTTTGACATGGGAACACGAAACAGCTGTGGTCACAGCAGCCACCTGTCCGCCCGCTACAGTCTATTTCGCTGAAGCCGCGCTTCTCGTCGCGTCTCAGGGCATGGCTGTCACCGAACCGTTCCCGGTCCATCTTGCCCCCCCAAAACCCCAATCAGGCCCGCTGGTGGACGCAGCAGCCAGGGCTGACCAGCTCGACGCACGCAGGCAAGGAACAGGGACGCAGACAGCGTCGTCTCGAGATCTTAGCGTCCACGGCACACACTCGGTCCGTCCCCCATCTCGACTCCAAGCGAACTTGCGGGCCGAAGCTTCGGCGGCCGGAATCCCGGTCAGCGTCTCTTCATTGAAGTCCCCATGCCCTGAAAGACCCCATGCCCTGCCAAGTCGAGCCAGGGGTTGTTGGTCTATCACCCCGCTTCGTCTAGCTCTTCTCCTGCTCAGCGCCTGGACAATCACCGATTCTGACAAGACTACTGTCTGGATCATCGAGTGAGTCCTATCTTGCGATTGAGTTGGCAAGTCCCGAGAGGGGTGGCCAAAGCCATCACATCTGTCCGACCGCAGCATGACTCAGGCTACCAGTGCACACATGAAGTGTCACGCTCGAACCGCGTCCTTCCTACCTTGCTAACGAGTTGTGATGTGACCTTGTTACGAGGGCCTTGTCGCCAGGACGTATCCAAGCCTAAGTTGATGAACCCATTTCCCGCAGCCACTTCTTGGGCCGCTGGGTGGAAAGCGGCAACGTCGTCAACATTATGCACCGTTTGAGATCGCACACACCATGGTCTTCCTGGCTTCCGTACAGCCCCGACTCGCGTCGTCTCGGTGTACCTGCCAGGCAACGCGACACTTGTGACCGGGGTGGGCTGTCGGGCCTTGTTGGCATCGCTGTCATGGCCTGATTGCTGTAAGGGGACTTTCAGTGAGGCTTCTAGCTGCTTTGAGCTTCCCTTGCAGCGGCGCGCGCGGATATGATGTGGCATGCCCGAATGACGATTGCGATTTCAGGCTCCCATGCTGAACAGCCAACAACCCGCGCAGCGGACGTGCCTCCGCCAGCCAGGTATGCCCGGGCCTGCAGCAGGTGTTCTCTTGCACGACGGGGGAAAGGGACAATGCCACTAGAGAATGGCTGTGGACGAAGACAGCGTCAATATACAACGCCGGGAGGATGTGTCTCTGGGGCTGCCACTCAGGATCGTGACACAACAGCACGCGCTTCACAGAATACAGCGTTTGGAGAAAAGCCCACAATCCAGATCCGGCTCCGATCCGTCCACGAAAGCTGCCGTGCTCCTTTCGACCTTTGTGGCAGACCTCCGATCCTTCCGATACGCTCTTATCATGACCTGGAAGTCGTTACCTGGCAGAGATTCTGCCGTCGTTGTCGCCAAATGTGACGGCATGCGGCGTCGTGGAGCGGCCGCTCTTCGAGGCCCGACGCGCCAACCAATCACTCCGTGTAGCGCCCTCCCATGCGGCTGTACCAGAAACACGACCCAAGACTCAGACACGGGTCTCCCGCCGACGCTTTCTTTTCGTGGTTCCTCTTGTCAATCGGGTTAAACGCACGGCTTCCACTGTCAGACTCATGGCACTGGCCCCTGCAAGTGGCCTAAAATATGCCAGCTAGAGCACGGAAGAGCGCAAGCGGTAACGTCCTGCGGGAGATCGACATGTCACAGTCGCCAATTGTGCGAATACAACCGCCAAATATTGTCCAATCACCACGTGCACGGTTCAACGCCAAATAGAAGATTGAAGAACTTGCTGCCCGTCATTGGACATATATGCAGCTTGCGGCAGACCATGTCCAATGGTTGGTCGACGACAGCTGCATTCCACAGGTTCCCACACGATCCATGAAGTCGGGTTTGCTCCTCTCTTTCAATTTGTGCATTTAATGGCTTCACGACAGCATAGCAATGAGTTCAGATACATTGGCCGCTTGGCCTTGTCATGCCCTTTCCCGAGTTCAAAAAGTAGCTCAACCTACCCGATGCAAAGCCAATACTGTTATGACTGCAAGACAGGTCGTGAGCGAGCACCTTTTGAAGACGATGAATGCAACAACGACAGCCCAACTGGGCAACGCAGGCATGTGACTGGCTCAAAAATCCCTTTTTTTATAAGCTTCTTGACTGGGCCCGAGACTCCTACACGTAGCCAACGTGCCGTTTCTGTTTCGCGAGACGCCTGTGTGGATGACTGGCCCGCTGTATGTAGCCATGGCGGCCACGGTATGGCCCGTATATTGGTCACGATTATACCCCCCAGGTGAGGGACGGACAGGACTGACCGCTCACAGTCAGGCTGTACTAGTGTCGTGATCATCATCCACACTATGCCCCATTGTCTGCTTCTACCGCTCTGCACAGTGTCGCCGGTCTCCCGCAACCACGATGTTTCGCATCTTGGCGAGAGGTGGCCAGGTGTGTACGCCGTGGAGCAATGCTCAAATACAGGGCGTTAGGAGCGAAGATCGACGATCGGTCAAACAGTGTGAACAGGAACTCCGAAAACCCCGTATGTCAAAGGGGACGAGAACGCAAGCCTCGCCAGGTAGTGAAGAGGAGTCGTATTGCCAGCACATCACTACGAATACCTAGGCGGCCAGCCCTGATCTCACCTAGACCCCCGAAGAGTGAGGCTTCTTGACCCTTGCAGAAGAGCCCTTCTCGCAGAAATACCTTGGTCCTGATCGCCGTGGCCCATACTTCTGCGCGTCACTCGCAGAGCAAAGACCCCCGTTCGCGGTGGGTGAAGCCGGCCTCCTCCATACAGGCTGCAGTAAACCCCCATGCCCGTCTTGATACTGCGCTTTCTGCCTGTTTTGCCGGCTCTGATCCCCGATTGCCGTTCTTCAGGGAAGTCAATGTCTGCAGGGTACCGATATCATCTCAGCATAAACAGCGTTGGGCTCATGTATTCAGGCTCATCTGCGTCGGCTGACCGAGTGGCACTCTCTCTCGTGGTCCTCGGATACGGATGAGACCTCTTGCTTCGAGCCCTCGCCTTGCTTTTTCTCCTTCACCTCTTTTCCACAGACCCTCCATAGTCGTTGAGAATGGTGTGCGCACGACATGACCTCCAATAGGCTTCGACCCGAGCTTCCGCGAGCCGTTTCTGCATGTCTTTGCATCCTGTGAGACCGACTATGAGGTTTTCAGACACCGAAGCTGCTACTAGGGTTGTTCATTTGTTGAAGCAGCCCACCAGACTATGTGCGATTCCGACTGACGTTGTGTGAGCCCCAGCTAATCTTGTATTTTATGATTCTCCGTCGATGACGTCGATTTTCATCAGAACTGGGATGCCGGATCAGGCATGATCGACCTGATGGCACTGAACATGATTCATGTTGGAAGCTCCAGAAAGCACCCATTGTTGGAGGCCGGCTTGCCTGGGCCGTGTTGAAATCTCCCGGTCCATGCCACGCTCTTCGTCGAGTCTGCTTTTGCGCGGAGCAAATGCAGCCAGAAGCCAGGCATATGCAAGGCAGGCTGCTGGGGGCCATGGCCAGAGGGCGGTCGCCACGTTGCCCTGGCCTCAGTGAATCGGCCGGCACGACGCGCAGCTTTGGCAAGGAGGGAAAGACCAGGGGGTACCTGGTCACTGATCTGTGTAACGTTTGCGGAGGAACGGGGATCAGTAGATCGTGCTCCTTGTAGCCTTCAGGCGGCCTCATGTGAGACCAGGGTGCTGCGGTAAGTACACCACCTCAAGGTCAAGAATACTCAGACCAGGCCGAGGCGAGGACGAGGTGAGACAGGGATAAGTAGCCCGGGGTCGCTTTACAGCAGGCCAGGCTGCCTGGTGTACATGGCGTCAGGAACCACAATGTTATTCAAGCGACATGGCGATTGTGTTGGTGACAATCATGTCTCGTGCAAGAGGGCCCCCAGACTCGGCCCGCTCATGTGTGGCGAACAGTGAGCCTTATTCTTCGTTCGTTGGGGGCGGCCTGTGATCTGAACCGGCCGCATGTTGAGGCGGCCTGGTCGAGGCCATCTCCAACCGCCCTCGATGCCTGACGACGGATCAAGTCGGTAGACAAGACGCCGAGGCCCCCAAGGCGTCCCCCGACATTGCTAGATGGAAATTCTTTCGAGCCATGCCATGATTATTGTTTCCCGTTGTCTGGGAAAACACCAACTTGATATCAGAAGAACCAGTCCACGCCTGATTTGGGTGGTCGAAACGCCACTGTAGGGCTCAGGTGTATGCTTACACACCCAACACGACATCGCAAGTCGCAGGCTTGAGGTTGGAGAGCACCGGCATTAATAACACAATTGGTAGACTGACAGTTCAGAAGAGAAAACATCTGATGGGGTTCCACTGAAGCAGATGCGCTGGCAGAAAAGGGGTTCATCCCTGCATCATAGGCTTTCTGCGAGACAAAAGAACGGTCTTACGTCCCCCCACGACGAGTATTCTGACCAGTCAAGGAGGTCCATTTCACCGAGAAGCGAAGAATGGCATCAAACAGGGACCGGCATCGATCCAGCCCAATCTGCTTGACAGGAACAGGTAGACCGAGCATCCTGGTCTGACAGGTGTCGCCTCCTGCGGGCCCGCCCACGGCCGAGGGGAGAAGAAGCCAAGCGGGGGGAGGGGGGGACGCCGCAGCGGCGGCCGCGGGTGAGCATCAGTGTTGCTACTTGCTTTTCTGGCTTGAGGTAGCTACGCCAGGGCTCGACCGTTGCAGAAACAGTACTTCCTAGCAATCCTCTACCGAAGCTTATGACGAAGTTGAGCAGCAGAGGCCCCTGACATACCCTAAGACTCGAAGCTTAGGGCCCGGTGCCTGTCATGGCGACGTAGGAGTTCAAAGGCTCTCATCGCAATGCATGCTGGCCATGCAAAGTCGCCAGCCCAATATCTCTGGTCGCTCGCTGCATCACCCGGGTCGTTCAGGGGTCCATGAACTGATGGAGGGTATGCTGTACGTACACAATATTTCAGGCAGCACGACGAGGACACGGGAGACCGGGCATGGATTGCACACCCTCCCCCGGTGGCACACACACGCACACGCACACACACACATACACATGTTCACCTCCACTCACACACACATGGGGCAATGATGGTGGCAGCCAACGATCGTGAGGCTTTTGTTCCTGGTCAAGCCAGGTACGTAGGATTGACCCCGGTCTTGACTGGCAAGGTCCCTTCTTCCGCAAGTGGAATGCAGTGGTATGCCATATACCGAGAGTGGAGAAACGCACGCATGCAAAAGGTGATGTGCCTACGTAGGTAGGTTCGGGGGTGATGTTGCCTGAGCAGCCATGATCAACGTGGCAACCAGATAGCGTCCGAGACTAGGCCGTCTGAGTGTGCGTGCGGGACGATTTTTGCCCAAAGTGTCTGCAGACAGCAGAGCTACATGAGCAGCATCGAGCAGTAGCCTGGGCGGAGCCGAAGTATGCGGGCAGCGGGAGGTATCATCTACCCATCCATGAATGAAGCCGTTCGCGAAAGTTTCGAGAGTTTGTCTATGGGAGGTGACAACACATCGTGCGGGTCCCGGTGCTTCTGTGCTGGCTGTCTGGCGAGTATAAGTTAGCCCCTGATCCGCAAGCGTGGAGAACGAGTGGTAGAGAAACTTACAATTCAGAGAACGAAACGACAACGAGAAGAAAGGAAAAACAACACGTTCGAATTGCGGACCTGGTGGTACACCAAAAGCTGAAACGCCGCCGATCGCCTGGCCACCAGAAGAACCAAGTCGAATAAAACGCATTTAGGCGTCGGAACTACTCTCGTAAGACTCTCGTAAGTTGCATCGCCCAAGCAAGCATACCAACTCAGCCCCCAATGTGACTGTGAGAAAGCACGCGGGACAGGATCCATATGCTTGATTGGGTTTCGTCGTTGACACATGCCCCTTTAGATCATTGACACAAGCCCCACGGCAGCACATTCGGTCCCTTTTCCCTGTGGCGAGCCCCGAGGACGAACGAAAGATCATGTGCTACTTCTACCAGACCCGTTGGACGTGTGGGTATTGGAGATGGGGCCAGTTCAAGCAGCAGTGCAACAAGGAATACCGGACGGGCGAGACGTGCGGGCTCAAGCTCGTATACACCACGGTGCAGGAGGCGGACCGGTGCAAACTGTGTCATGATATCGACAAGAAGAATCGACGAATACTCAAAATGACGACGGACATTGATAGGTGGTACAGAGAAGGGAATCGACAGGCCACGATCGAGAGGACGCTGATAGAACTGACGGCAGTGGAGGACCAAAAAGCGGACATGGAACACCGACATCAGGCGAGGGTGCTCTGCCAGGATTTGGCGGCGTGATCTGGACACCCCCTCCCGAAAGCCCAGGAGGTAAGTCTTCTGGAAGAAGATCGATCAGGGGCACACCCACCCCAAGTTGAGACATGGCGCACACTGACACGATGCGTCACAGTGGCTTCAACGCATCACACGAGGCACCAGCCGGCTTGGATGACATACCCACACGACAGAAGGGGGGTATGGTCCGAAGAGGGGGGAGGGGGCTTGCTCCCCAGCACTCCAATCTTCCGGGCCTGGAAGGGAGGGGGGGAGATTTCTGGGAGCAGACACAACCACGTAGTGGTTCATCATTCGCTATCTTACTCATGATTTTGTGTGTTTTGTTCGTCACGTACGGTTTGACGGCTGTCGAGGGTCGCGAAAGGGGAAGAGAGGAGACAACGGGGCAGAATGGATGTGAAAAGAATCTTTCTTCCATCTTGTTCCTCGCCTTTTTCTATTCGGCGAGAAAGATGGGGGGCATTCATCTTGTATTAGGTATCGAAAATGGAGAGAAAGAGAGAGAGAGAGAGGAACGTCTGTGTAAGGTTACTTTTGCGCGAGTTATGGGCAAGACGCCCTAATAAAAAAAGGGTCAAAGATCCAGCCGTCCTTGGAGACGTAACAGTTCTTCAGTGTGTCAAGCGTAGCATGGACAGCTGCTTGGGGCAGCTCAAAAGAAGGGCGAATCCCCTCCCGCGCAGACCGCCAAACCCTCCCAGCACCTTTCTCTCCTCCTGCACAGCTGCCCATCCGATGGTCGTCGCCACACTTGTCAGGCAAGGGAGCGCGCTGCAGAAAACGGATACAGCCGACAAATGAGATGAACGGCACCGCAGCACGGGAAAAGGAATGCAGTTGACCAGCTCTGGCTGGGGCCAGACCAAACCCACGACGCCGCCAGTCAGTGCCTGAGTCGAGTCAAGAGTGTGCTCAAGCCCCCCTGCTCTGTCTCTCTCTCTCTCTCTCTCTCCCTCTCTCTCTCGCTCGCTCTCTGAAGAGGCAGCCACTCTCTACCGTGAGCACGCAGCATGGGCAGGCGGTGGCGGCGAAGGAGAGGGCTTCTACGGCATATAGCGTAGGGGGCCATAGGGCTTCGGGCCCCCGCCGTCTGTCTGCGCAGAGATTTCGCCGGGCAAGCCGATATTGGCGACAAGACCTGGTTCATAGCAATGGTACAGGGCTTGCCATCTGCGCGTGGGACCAGCGAAGGGAGCCTGGGAGTTTTTGCAGGATCCAGCCAGGGGGAGGGGGGAAAGACACAACTGGCTTGCATCAGGGTACTACTACTACGCAGGCTGAGCGGTCACCCATGCGGTCGCGCCCCCTCGCGCATCCCCATCCCACGCCTGGCTTCCGCCAATGAGCCACGGGAAACCCACAGACTCCCGCACAACCCTGAGAGGCGGGGAGGCTCGAGCAAATCATGGACATGGCACCCCAGCCCCTACATGCCTCCTCCCTGCTCGTGGTCTTCCGTTTTCGCGCGCGCACGCTACTCATTCGAGAATTACGCCGCATCTCAGTCGTCGGCGTGGACCGAAGCCGGCCACGGGCCAGGCAACGGGCCAGGCCGTGGGAGGTTGGGGCAACGAGTGCCGGCCATGGTAGAGGGGACAATCACTCATTTGTACGAAAAGGGCCTCCACATTGGAGCGCCATCAGCCGACGGGGCACGTGGTCATTGCTCAATGGACTCGTGCGTTCCACGCTTGGGTTGATGAAGAAATTGACCTGCAAAGCGATTGGCCAGATGAGGCAGGCAAGTGGACTTCGATGGCAAGGTATGCGAGCGGTGGCGCGTGGTGGAGAGCGAGAGGGGTGGGTGTGCCCGGCTCTTGGGGCGTGTTTCGAGGTGATTTCTGATTTAACCATTTTGAGTAAACCCGACATGATTTCTCTCGTATCGTCAATTTCCATGACCTCATATTGTGCGAAACACCTAGAATTCCAACCGTACTCAAGGAAAATGCGAGACTAGCGAGCGTCCTGCAGGCGGGGGGATATCGTCAACACCTCGCCGCATCACCGGCCCGTCCCTCGGTGCCGAGCTGTCGGGAAGTGAGATGCGACGTGGGCATGTCCATGGACTCATCGTCCAACGTCAAATAATGTACAACAGTGAATACAGCGGCCACATGGCCGCAGCCGTAGCCGCAGCCGTAGCCGCAGCCGTAGCCGTAGCCGCAGAACCAGTCGCTGGTGCAGCCGCAGCCAACGTGGACCACGATGGACCAGACCGTACGCAGTGCGGCGCACGTGTCGATGCTCTGTCCCGAAGCAGCACGTCATGCCATCGCAGCAGCTGCATCTGCAAAGGTGCCGACGAGGGGACCGTCAGACTCGGATTTGATGGATGGAGCGCGGCGCTGCACGTCGACTGTGTCTTCCTGGGGGAAGCCAATCCACTTGAACGCCAGCCGGGCTCTGGCCCTGACCCTCGCCCTCGTCCTTGGGAGGCTAGTTTGGAGAGCAGGTGCTGATATCGAACGATGCGGGCTTCTTGTTCCTGCATACGCAAAGAGTGCTGGCGCAGGCCGGCGCCGCT